AAATATATATATATATATATATATATATATAACGTGGAGAATGGTCTTTTCGCAACAATATAATTATAAATCTACGCGATGCCCGTTAATCCACTACACCCAATTTCATTGGAAGCTGATATATTGTAGTACTACGTGCACAAGTACTAATATCATCATCTAGGTCAATACTAGCATAACTTGGTATATAGTCCTCCACTAATTATTATGTGATAGTCTATATGGTCTATATCTTGTTAGTTGAGAGACCATAATCCCGTCACAACTAGGGCATTAATCACCAGTGCTAGCCTTTTGGATTAACATTCGATCGGTCATTGGCTAGCTAGTGGACCACAAAAAATATGGTTCCAAATATTGCCAAAATTAATTAAGTTCAACATGTGTATTGATGATGATGATGATAATTCATATTTAAGGCCATTATTGAATCTTATAATTTGAATATCTGTTTTAATTACATTTGAGTATGGTATTACTATATATATGCTTGAATTTATACAAGTACTACACATGCGGATTAATAGAATTGTAAACTTGCTATACTAATTAGTTGATCTATGTGAAAATTACATGATATGAACGAGAAGCTAGCTTATAATGATAAATGGCCTTGCCTATCTTCCATATAATGAGTAATTAGCCAGTAAATTCACTCTCGGAGGAAATCTCTGAAAACAGTCAAAGAATGAGAATCTACTTATTAAGTGGAACATAATAATAATCAGACATAAACCACCTCTTCCTAGTGGGCAAGTCGCATTATACCACCTTATGTTGTCGTTTTTTTCCCCCTTTTAAATTTCTTTTAGGACTCCTGGCCACACTGTTTCTGTAGTGTGATCACGTTTTCTCGAATGATTCCAATGTTTGTCTAAAACTTTCTGATAGAACTGTAGTCTATACATATAGATTTCAATGTTGATGCTAATTTTAGTAATTTTATAATATCTCTCTTGCTTTTTGCAAGCATTCGATATGAGCACTTTCAGCGGCTGATGTTAGTTGCGTATTTGGACAAGATTTATAGACACAATTTATTGTATATGCCAATTCCCAGAAGTTACATTTTTTTCATTTTTTTTTTTAAAAAAAGCTACATTTTCACAAAGGACATACTTTAAAACAACATCTTCATAAATTATTAAAAAGTTTTGGCTTGAAAAGACACAATTGTTTGTAGTTAGTGTTGGAAAATGTAACTAAAGAAAGTCCCAAATCCATTCATGAAAGGGAGAAAAAAGAACATTATAATCTATAGCTAACTTTAGTTAAATAACATGAACTTTACCTACTTATTCAGTTGTGATAAACTAATAATTAACACATGAGAATACAATTTGATTACGCACTTTTGATCTTTGTCAGCTGCGGATACATTTACCCAATACAAATTAAACATTGCGTATAAAATAAATATAATGGTCTAGCTTGTTAAACGCATCTATCACTAGCTAGCTCGCTAACAAAAAACCATTAATCAAGTATGATAATCAGCTTTATTTAATTAATACCTGATACTTCGCCGCAACCTCCTCTCTATCAACATCTAGCATAAGTACTAATCAATTCCTTTACCTAAGTATCTTAGACATTAATACCAAATCACTAAGATCTTGGTATATATCTTTTTTTTCTCTCTCTCTTTGTAGCTGTTCAACGACCAATAGAACCTTGTAATTATGGGGCCTTCACGAACTTTTTCACACATGAAATTGGTGGGTTGTGGTTATTAATAAGAGGCCGACCAGGAAAACTTTTTGTTTTATTACTCATCACACAAAGGCACATGAAATGCATATTGCTATCTTAGAATTCTTAGAATAAGATAAAAGATAAATTCTAGTCATCTAGTGTCACTTTAGGCTTCTTTCTTCTTCTTTTTTTTTTTTTAAATTGTGTACGAAAAGTTGTACCTCCCTGCGACCTCAAACACTAGTTAACAAGTATATTCCACGCGTTTTTAATGGTGGACCAGCTGGCTATAAAAACAAATCTTTTTTTTTTTTTTTTTTTTTTTTTAAGATTGATCGAGAAAAGTTAATAAAAAAAATGTACAGTAGAAATTCATTCCGATCATCTGATCGACCAGTCAAATTGTATTAGTTTGGCTCGGAGCCTTTTGTGGCGTAATAGTGCTTTTCAAATTTTTAATTGAATTCTTTTGAGTGCTTGCTATATTCATTGTGCATTAGATGTATAAAGTACCAACTAGCTGATATTGATAATGATATGGAGAAATTAATAAACATGTCCGCAGAAACTCTCTATAAAATTTGCAAGTGCTTAGAGTTTTGACTTATTAGTAAAATTCTCTAGAAGTCTGTATTATTCGTTCATAGGAAAGAAGCAATCAGTACCACATTGACATTTTTTTATCTCCTCCTTGAAGGAGTAATTCCAAGTAAAACGACAACAATCTACTTAGCAACTTTATTATTAGATCAAAACGACATGCCGTTTACAAGGAAGAAGAGCCTGTGTAAAGCCAATCACAAGTGCACAAGTGGATGGCTTAGTGAGCCGATGCTGGCTATTTTATCTATTAGTATAAGAGTCTATTGTGGCTTCTTCGAGATCATCAATTCATTTTGTAACAGAGAGAGAAAGTTGAAAACAACTTTGTAGTGAGAGAAAGAGAGAATTTGGGCGTTTTGGTTGCTAAGAGAAAACAGAGAGCATTTTAGGGTTTTTCTCTTGTAAACGTTCTGAGAATTCTTTCTTGAAATTATTTTCGTGTGGATTGTTAATCTCTCTGGGTTTGTGAGTCGTGAGGGTGTAATTTTTGATCTAATAGTAAAAGAGCTTCTTGTGAGAGAGCTCAACGGGGACGTAGGGCAAATATTTTGTCCGAACCTCGGTAAACTCTGTTGTGTTGATTGTGCTCTTTCTCATTCCGATTTTTGAGTCTTGTGTTGGCTTCTACCCAACACTCCTTTCCTCTGTCTTTTCAATGTTTCTTTAATGAGTTAATTGCAAAAATATCTTGAGCAAATTTTGGATTAATATTACATAAGGATATAATTGGTCGCAATTGGTAGTCCAGATATAAGATAATTTCTCAAAATCTGATTAGACTAATTACAGTTTTAATTAGATCAATATGATATCATATTTAATGAGAATGCCAATACATGATTATACACAACATTCACGTACAATTGGTACGTACGTAGAGAAAGGACTAATGAAATTTAAAGATTAACTAAGTACGGTCCGTTTAATTCACTGATTCGAGTTTTTAATTTGAGTTGAGATGTAATTTTATGTAAAAAAATTTTATTGTAACTAAAATATAAATTTTAAATTTAAATCAGTAAAGTAAACTGAAAGTATTACCATGGAATATGAATCAAAACCCACAATGACCAATAATAAAACTGCTTTGTGGACATAATTTGGACATTGCGCGTAGAGAACGCGTGGGTCAGAAATGAACTAGAGGTGGGATCCATTGCATTCCCTTGGTGCGGCATGAGACCCCTTCTTGTACCCACCAAATACTAACTTCCTAGTCAGTCAATAATCATAACAAAACTTATTTTTTCTCTTATCCGTGCCACGGAAAGCATTTGGCCGTACCTTTGGGGTTCCAATTATATTATATAACTCCCATTGATGCACGTTTTGTCCTTTTTTTCATGTTTTGTTTTTCCTTCTCTCTCTTATATATATATATATATAAAATTGTGAGCATCACTTTTTCCGTATATTAACGTAAAATATTATTATTTAAATAAAAAATAAGATTGTAGAGTTTATGAGTGTGTTTATAACTTATTTTAAAATAATTTTATTTTTCATATAAAAATATAAATGAAAATGTTTTTAACTTCATACAGAAATTATTTTTAAAAATGCGTTTAATAGTTTTATTAAGATATTATTTTCAGTGTATTAAAGCCCATTAATGTCTCTCTTTTTCTCTCTCTCTCCGCTCGAGAGAGGAGAAAACAAAAACAAAAAATGAAAAATAACTAAAAATCATTTTTCATTTCTCTCTCATTTTACACTAAACCAAAAAATCGTTTTTATTTCTGTTTTTTGTCTTTATTGCGTCAAACGCCGTTTTGGAGACGTTTTTATTTTTTCTTTCTCAAAAAACTTGAAAAATAAAAACTGAATCAATTCCAAACACAGCTTACGTGTCAAACTAATGCTAGTATTTATCGCGTATATATATATATATATTTATATATGACGGCTCCAGTACTACTAACTTGTCATGCCGTCCAATCCAACCATGCTTAGTTTTTTTTTTTTTTTTTTTTTTTTTTTTTGGCTAGAAAAATCCAACTATGTTTAGTTGATGCACTGTCATGCAAGTTCATCACACAGCCCCGGTTCATTAGGAGAGTTGCGCCAAGAATAATGCAAAAGACTGTTACTCTTACATACGTGACAAGTGAAGTGATAAATTTCATGCTCAAACCAATTGAGCAATAAAAAAAGAAAAAATCA